CTCAAACTCCAAATCATTCTTAGCCGCCACTCCAAGTAAAGCCCGAATAGAGCTATGCTTCACAACTGGTGAGAACACATCTATAAAATCAACGCCCGGAATCTAACTGTTGCCTTTTGCCACCAATCTAGCCTTATATCTAGTATCTTCAATCCCTTATGTGCCTTCCTTTCTTTTGAACACATATTTACAACTCTTTTACCTTTAAGTAATTTCACCAAGTTCCAAATGTTATTTTTGCTCAATGACTCCATCGCCTCCTGCATAGCAATCATCCATTTGCTAGAATCAACTGACTACCTTTGAATATGTAGCAAGCTCCTCATTGGAATCAATGTCTTCAGCCACACTCAATGCATAAGCTACCAAGTCTGCTTTTCCATACTTCTGTGGAGGTCTAATATGTCTGCGAGGTCTATCCTTAGGTATAAAATACTGTGGTACTTGTGATATAGGCAAAGTAGGTAGGATATTATTGTCTATCAATCCCGAACCGGGCTCATCTGTAGTAGAATGTTCTGCAATCTCTGATTATTTCTCTGAACCAATTTCCAACTCCGCTTGAGTTGAATGATTTTGCTCCTCAGCTTTAGCAGAATTCCCAAGAGGTGAACCACGAACCATAACAAGTTCATCAAATACTACATTCCTATTAACGACCACCTTTTTAGTCTTGGGACACCCCAACTTATAGCCTTTCACACATGATTTATATCAAAGAAAAATGCACTTTCTAGACCTAAACTCCAACTTCCCATTATCCACGTGAGTATAAACCGGACAACCAAAAATTTTTAAATCAAAATGGCAAAAAAGTTTACCGGACCATACATCTTCTAGTGTCTTTTATCAATGTCAACTGAGGGTGAACGATTAATCAGAAAACAAGCTGTAGTAGCAGCTTCAGTCCAAAAAGACTTAGGCAACCAAAAATTTGAAAGCATACAACGAACATTTTCCATCAAGGTTCTGCTCATCCGTTCGATCGCACCATTCTGTTGAGGAGTTCCAGGCACTGTGAATTGTCTCAAGATGCCTTCAGCCCTGCAGAAGATATTGAATTCATTTTAACAAAACTTCAACCCATTATCAGTGCGTAGACA